GATAACTGAGAGGCAGCTTTTCTCTGCTCTTTTGTCAACAGGGAAGAAGGGAGTTTGGAGAGGGAAAGAAATTCTGTTCAATACTAAGCTCTCTTCCTCAAAATCAGAGGTACATAGAATGTGTAATAATTTACAGAATTTGTAGACTTAAACAATCTGATTTTTTAAAATTTAGTTTTATTTTTTCAGGTTGAGACTGAGCTGATCTGTGGCGACGTTCTGGATGCACTGGACAAACACCTCATTCCAGCAGCTATAGCTGGCAAGTCCAAGGTTTTTTATTATGAAATGTAGGTTCTACACTAACAACTAACAAGTGTACTTCAATAATTTTCAACACTCTTAGGAATAATTGGCTTGCTTTCTTTTTGTTTTCTTAGACATTTCTTATTATTTTCCTTATTAAATATAACCAAAAATCCCACAGAAATTAACTGAGGAGCCTCTAAATATCACCAAAGTAATCACTTGATGGACTAGAATTAAACAAGCAAATGGTTCCAAGAAATGGCACAAGTGTATTAATCGTAAAATAAAATTTCTACATGAAACATTCAGCCAGCACTGTGCAATGTGGGCCATTTGGGGGAGGGGAATAAGATAGGTCCCATGAAGGCAAAAGAATATAAATAAGTAAAACAAAAGCTAATGCATTTTTATAATGGCCTGACCATCTTTTTATTCCAACATCAACTATCCTTCTAACATTAAACAATTAGTTTTAAATAAAAGTTGGAAACCTACATAGAAGAAAGTCATGATTCTAAAAGACCAACTTTTAATCTTACATTTTCCTTTGCAGTATAGAACCTACACAAGAAATAAGATGAAAACAACCCCTGCTCATTCCACCGTACCAGCTTTTCATTATCTACATCTTCAGCTGAAGAGAGTGCACCGTGTCTCAAAGGTTCCTTTCAAGTATCTGACTTTATCCTCAAGTCACTTTTTTTCATTAAAATGTTCAAACCCTGAAGTTCTTAGGTGTGAGCCTAACAACATATGTACAAGATCTATATGAAGAAAACTGTGAAACTCTGATGAAATGAATCAGATAACTAAATGAATGGACAGAGATTCCATGTTCATGGATAGGAAGGCTCAATATTGTACAGATGGTACTTCTTTCCAGCTTGATCTATAGATTCAGTGCAGTCTCAATCAAAATTCCAGCAGGTTACTTTGCAGATATCAACGAACTGATTCTGAAATGTATATGGATAGGCAAAAGATCCAGAATAGC